TAAGTCAATCATTTTTTTTATGATTTTTTTATATAACTTTATGAATATAATGATAAAATATAATATATTTCTCAAAATAAAAATTTAATTACGTTACACTCTTAAAAATACATATTCGAATATCATAATAAAGATCAAAAGAATTCAATCCATAAAAATATTGCAAACAGAACATGGATTACATCATTATTCTTTTGATTTATTTCATTGTTACTTTATTGATTTTTATTAATTAAATGAAAAAAATTCCATGAATTTTCGTACTCGTATTTTCTAATATAACATAAAAAGATAAATTTATTACTGCGAATAATTGAGTTCAAATAGTAATAATAGAAGAAAATTGCTCGAACAATGTATGAACCAGAGGCAGAGGATGGCAGAGTAGCTATGATGTGGGAATTAAAAGAGAAATGATATATGGCTAACTTACACTTTCTAAAATCTACTTATGGAGTTTAAAATGTCACCTTCTGTAAGAATATTCATGGATTGGGGGGGGGGGGAAAGAGAGCTTTCACAATTTTGGAAGCTCTGAAAAAATAGTCAGTAATTTACAAAAAGACCAGTCCCTGGATAGGCATCCAGGACGAAAAAGCTTCAGAAACTTCGATAAGGCATCGAAGACGGCAATCCGATAGGGAGGTTATAGTTCGGTTCTCCACGGTCATGTGTTGGACCGCAATGTTTCTTCGTTTCTTCAATGTTATTTGAAGATATGGTTCTTCTTAGGCTCCTGGTTATTAGATCTACTAATGGTACTGGAAGGGCTGGGGTGATGAGTACTTGGACCCGAGGACGGGGAATACAAACTAGGAGGAACCTCAAGGGTTGAACGAGGAGAATAACGCGGTGCTGCTGATAGCTCAGAATGCTTGTAATGAGATCGTTGTGCGGTTTCACTGGAGAAAAAGAATTATTCATGAAGATGAAATTGACAGTCGAGAAAAGAAAGCATACGATTGAATTTGACAGTCACAATATGCAAATGTCATGTAACTCTTACCTGTCAGGGGTCACAGGTTTTGAATTTTGCAAGCTAGGCTGTACCGGCAACTGAGCCAGTTTAAATTCAGATCGCTCAACTGGACTAAGGGGAGCATCCTGCATATTATTAAACTAATTATGAACTAAACTATTATATGCTAATGGCGACAACAGGGTATGTATTCTTGTTTACCCCTACTTTTATGCCATTAAAGGATGAGGCACCCGACTGTAGTGGGCTTTTAACAAATCGGTGCTCTAGTAATACGCTTGCAGATGGTCTCTCTGCAGGATTTCTTTTGAAACAGCAACGCAGGAAATCCTTCTCCTCGGATGATAAGGTTTCGGGTATGGGAGGGTATCCCGCATCACTTTAAACATAGCGGCAGCCTGCATTAGCAAAAAGAACACAGAAGTTCGAAACGTCTCTTATTTAAAAACAAACCCGACAAAGCAATTGAACTTGTCCTTCCTTGCACGCAAGTAGGGAACTCTTTAACTTTTAATGATTGGCATACAATGCATGATTATTAAGTTCAGAACCCAACTTTTTATTTTCTTTTTTCCGTAATCTGATGTCATTTCATGCAACAATGGAAAGTTGGAATGCTCAAAATTTTCTCCAAGGCTCAGCTGATTTATAACGTGAATCAAGATACACCAGGTGCTTACCCCTTCATACTCACTCCATGGTGCTTTACCAGTGAACATTTCGATAATTGTACATCCCAAACTCCAAATATCAACAGCGAGAGCAAGCTCGGAACTATTATCTTTCTGCATCACTGCTTGCATAAGCTGTAGAGAAATGAGCAGTGTCAGTATGTTCAAAATACAAAAATCATAGAAGTATAAAATTGCGAGATGCTACCTCTGGAGCCATCCAGTAAGGGCTTCCCTTCAAAGGTAGGTCAGCTCTTTGTCCAGTAAGCTGCGCAGCAAAACCGTTAAAAAGCTATTCAAGCTGAATCAGAAAAAAAACAACTAACCAGTTATGATTATGATGATGATAGCATCTGCCACACCAAGCTAATCAACTCTAGTATTCATACAAAGATTTAATTAATCTGCCTACCTAGTTCATTTGTGCTTATGTCCATTTATATTAGCCACTTCTTTTATGCTTAAGAAAATTTTCCAATAAATGATTGGAGTTGTGGGGATGAATGCAGTAAATGATCCTATGGTTAAAACTATAGATGTCTTATCTGTAACCAGTATGTGTCGCAAGACTGGAGAGATATGAAACTTACATGTTTGGACATTCCAAAGTCAGCAAGCTTGACAACTCCACATGCATCAACAAGCAGATTAGCTCCTTTAATATCCCTGAACATAAAAAGATACACAGCATATTAAGCCACCAATATTTCATTATAGAATACTGAGATAGGTTTTTTCCTCTCGTCAAACTACTAGTTTTTCCATGCTTAAATTTTAATTGGACAGAAAGAAGTCATTCACTTATATACTCTAATAGGCTGTTTTTAACCCCAGATGAGGGCAGTGCTTTGTACCCGTGGATTGTCTTCGTGATGTGCAGGTAAGCTAACCCAGAAAGAGTATGACGAGTAAAATTGCGAACAACATATTCGGTTATGGCACAACAGTGATCACAAACATATTTATTAATTGAACCAGTATGAACATACTCCAGATATATATAGACTTGTTTTCCACCTGCATGCGGTAATTTTTATTCCTTAATAGAAATTCTTACGATATTAAGTGGAACAAAAGGATAGAAGAAATCCACAACATGCAATCAGCACTTACTATTTCACTACCATAATAATGCACTATATTTGGATGCTTGAGATGGCTAAGAACCTTGATCTCCTGCAATAAAGAATGTAGTTAAGGCTCCATAAAAGAACAAACAGCTTTAGGTAACCATCACTTCTATCTCCCTAGGATGAAGCAATGTAATATTTTTGGCAGAAAAACCTGTTCTAATTGCTTTATACACTGCAGATTTTGGGTCATCTGGAAATATTTCGTCTTCCTTCATTGCACGTAAAGCTCCAGTTTCTTTGTTAGAAACAAGAACCCATTTTAGTCTTTAGATGACAAGTGCAATAGGTGGCAAAGACCAAGAGAAATTATACACGGTATACCTGTTACTGGCAACATAAACACTTCCAAATGTACCGCGACCAATAAGCTTGCCCTTTTGCCATTTAGAATTCATTGGCAATGACTGGTTTATTAGCAACTTGGGAAATGGAAGATGGTGGGGAAGCCAAGCCAACTCCTGGAGGAAGAGGTAACGGATGGACAGAGATATGGCCATTATTTTCAGGTCGCAATGATGAGATATCAATAATCTCAAGTGACAACCTTCGATGTATTGGTGAAGGAGGTCCACTTTGGCTTCTGTTACTTCGAGTAGGACTTCGATTTGGTAGACTGTGAAGTGGAGTATGATCAGTGGTAGATGCATTGTAATCATGGACTGTTCGGGAAGGAAGCCCTGCAACATCTAATGGCTTCATCTCCGGGGCTGAACAAAATTGATTACTTGCAGGAGCAATATAATGCGGAAACACGTCGGCAGCACTCAGTCTTTGTGGGGTAGCTACAGGGCTCGCAATCTGACTCGTTGGAGCACTGCTAATAGGAAAATGCACCATAAACTCATCCTGATTACTATCCCCTTTAATCACTTCTTGTTGCAACCCCCTAGAGCAAGATATTGTTTCCACGTTCTTCTTCGTCTTCCTCAAGTCACGAGAAGCAAACACACTGTAATTGGAGAAATTAGAAAGCTGATTTTAGAAAAACCAGCTAAAACAAGTTATCAGAAAATAACTCCGATGACTATAAATATAAAACCTAAATAAAGTACAAATCTAACTTTCAGATAGAACATTTAGATTATCAATTAAAGTAGTATTGCGATCGTGAATATATCATCCTTAAGCTCATAATTCATTTCTAGCATTTAAATTATCAATTAAATAGTATTACATTAGGAAGATATCATCCATCCTTTAGGAATTTGTTTCTGAAACATTCACAGAACGAAGACATCAAATGATTGGAAATAGAGAATAATAAGACATAATAAATTGGTCATTGTTGAATTAAATAATCAAATAAGTCTGCATGAAATATTGTTTCAATTACATTTCTATTCAAAAGTTCATAATCAAATAATATATAATTTGAAATCTTCAAATAAAAATTCAAATGATATATGAATTTATTTCATCATAAATTTCAAAATAAAAATTCAGCTGAAATAATATTTTAATAATTTACTCAATTACTAACTCAATTAGCGAAGGAGTAGTTTCATCTGCTTTATCTGTATCTCTATCCTCTAAACCTTTACAATGTCCAACTTCCTTCGGCGACAGCAACCTTTGCTCCCCGTCTCCATCTGGAACCGGAAGCGGGAGCGGCAAAGGCATAGCCAAGGCCGACGCCGACGATGACTTGGAAGCCCGCGAAGGGGGTGACGACGGAGTATCGCAACCGCCATCGGACAGCAGCGAAACCACCGCTTCCTCCTGATGAGGAATTTCCTGGTCGGTTAGATTCCTCGGCTCCTTGTACCTTCTAAACCTAGCTCCGGCAATACTAAACCCCAAGTAGTAACGTGATTTGGGACGTTGGTTCCGCTGATAATGATTATTATTATTATCTTCAGTATATTTCAGCGACGGCGAGGAGGAGCTGCGGGAGGAGAAAGAAGATGAAGAAAACTAAATATTATGAAAACAACGCATGGCTAGAAATCATACTGAAAAATCAGAATAAATTATTCAAATTTGAATTGAAGGAAATAACGAGAGGAATATCCATGGAAGGATGATGATGTTCCAAAGGATTGGATGAGCAATGGCGTTCTTGGTTTAAAAATTCGGATATAGAGAAACCAGTTTCTTTTCCTTTTATGAAACATTGCGCGGTTAATAACAGAAAAGCCTTCTTTACTTTTAAAGAGCTACGCCTCTAGCTGCTTTAGCATCTGCTCCTTACACTTTTTTTATTTTAATAAAATAAAATAAATAATTTGACAGTTTTATTTTAATAATAGTTAATTGCAACAACCCTCTTCCATCATGGCTTCAATTTTAAAGCACAAGCTCGGTTCGAAGTACATTCTTAAATGTCTTGTCTATTGGGGAATTTCAAAGCAGCACATCAAGAAATATCATCATTGGTCTTGACTCATGCTTAGTTATACCTTCATGGGCTCGGGATTTTCGGAATACATCGGCACAATCTTACATATAGGCATGCTTTCATTCTTGCTTAGAAGCTTCATGGATGGATGAACTTCGATATCATGCATCGTCACTCTATCATCGATATCTAATTCGCTCACATCCACCTCAATTTTTAGAGGAATGTGTTCTGCTGGGCATTGAAACTTCAAACTACTTCGTATCCTGTTAAAGTAGCCACCTGTTATGGCATCAAACTATCATCAAACAGTTCATGAAACGACCAAGTATAATCTGATTGTCAAAAACTTTGAATAGATTAAGCATTGACAAATCAATGAAAGATATACTTGTAAATCCCAGATTTAAATAACAAAAAAAGGAACGATAATAAGACATACATCATGTTCTAGTGCATTACCGCTTGCAACAAGATATTTGATAAGTTAACATCATTTAGTGCAACCATAAAAAGTGAAATGCGAGGAAAGACAATTAACATGGCATGGAATGAGCAAGATAGTATGTGGATAGCAAGGAGCAAAGCTCCAAGAATTGGTAAGGATACCCAAGATCGATAAGGAGAAAACATTGATGTATACATTTAACAATTTTTGATGCCATAAAACTGAATAAAAAATTGTAGTATCTAACCTAATTATCCATAACAGAACACTAAAAAATATGATTTATAAACAACAGAAGTTTCAAAATCATATACAAACACATATGCAGGAAGATGCATACATGTAATCACTAAAAGATTCTCAACCTAATGTCACTTATATGTTTCAATTTTGTCTGCATTTCCCTAGTACGAAAGCAAACAATTATGTTCCAATGAAACAAGAAGAATCATGTGATACATTTTTAGACATAAGTATGGAAATATAACCTTCCAAAAACACAAATTGAGATTGATTTAATACTTTCATCTAAACGGGGCAGTGGACAAGAAAATGGACATCACATAGTAAAATTTAAACCTTGGATAACATTAACATCGATCAAACAAAGATGAAATGGGGAGAATTGCAGTAAATTTTATACCTTTCTTAAGACCAGGGCAATCCTCTAATCCTTTGAAAACAACAGGCACGTCAACCTTCAGCTCAGTACCTTCATCCGCCCAAACAAACGCCAAATTCATTATTTTACCAGTCTCCTCGTCCCTGTGAATCTATAAAAACATCCAAAAAAAAACAAAATTTGAACTTGGGTAACAATAAAAGCTAAGAATTAACAAAAAATAAAAACTTGCCTTGATAGGTAAAACTCTCCCGGATTCAAGTAAGACTGAAGACCCAGAACCGGCCCGGATCTGAAGCTGGAACGTCGTGGAACAAAAGAAAGGGAGTTCAACCGACTTGATAATGGATCGAATCTGCTTTCCTTCGGTAGTCAAAAGTTGTTTCCTTGACGGGGAACGGTTGCTTGGGTTTTTCTCCAGCAAACCTTGAGAGAAAACCACTGCGGGGATTCTACCTTGGGCTCTATCACGGCTCGAGATACGGCTCCCGGTGCATTCTCGAGGGATGGCTTGGATGGTGTGATAATGGAGGGAGCTCGCCGGTGATGTTTGGATCACCGTTTTCAGGCCGCGCCACAACCTGGACATTTGGCCGGAGTGTGGGCTGTTGACAGTTGATCTGACTTGGTTTGATTTCTGGAAATGAGGGTTTTGTGGATGGTTAGTTATTTGGGGCTTAAAAATGGGCCTTTTTTAGGCATGGTATTAATATACCCGGTTTTTTTCCCCTTTTAATGAAGCAAAGCTAAAGAATTACGGCTTTAGCGTAATTTTATTTTTATTCTTGTATTCGTTTCTTAATGTCATCCCTTTTATTAATTATATTAATTTCAAATTTTAAATGAGTATTAGGATTGTAACGATAATCGTCGTTAATTATTATATTATTGATATAATAATTATTCAAGTAATCTCAATAATAATAAAAATATTATTTTATTTAATTATAAGATAGTATCTATAGGTGTTTATTCACGTAATCTACAAGCAGAGATCATGCCACAATCTTCAACAATACTTCATTAATTGATTGAGAAATGTGTTTATTCTTCCAACTAAAAAGTTACATGTAATGAACTCGTCCGGCACGAAAACACACCGAAAATTAATATTTCAAGGAAGAATTTTTTTTAGCTGATTAATTAAGTTAATATCTTATAAATAACATTATACAATACTATCCGTCTCTGATCTGTCATACTACTTGATTGGTCTTTCTTTTTGTATTATTAAGATTCCTGATCTTGGGAAAGGTTATCTCATCAAGTCATTGACTACAATGTTGGACAACATCAACACCTGCAATCAATCGATCAACACTTCTCACGAAAAGATTGGATTCATTCTATTCGAGTCCGAAGATTTACCTAGATGCTCTAAAAAAAGGTATTCCACCCCCCCCCCCATTAACCTTGGGAGAAAGGACAGTTAGAGCTAGGGACAGATGCAGATATCTGTATCAGTGGGTATGAATATAAAAAATTATATTAAAAATTTAGGGGTGCGAGATTATAAAATCTCAGGTGTGGAAGTCAAGTAATTTATATAAAACACAAAGAAAAACCCTAATATATAAGGGAATTTAAAATTTCTAGGAGGTGTGACCGCACCTCAACACCTCTCTTGGTCCATACCCTGGCTATAGCATTACGTGACCTCTTCTTCCCTTCATTGACCATCGTAACATCAACCTTATTATCTTGTATGTCATATGTAGAGGAGTAGAAGATGAGGAGATATTTTTACTTGCCGTAAAAGACTTGTTATTGGAGAAATGAAAAATCTTTATCTTTGGATAACAAGTGTTGGAATTATCCACCCCTTTACCTCTATCCCTTTGCATCATATTTGAATTCCGAATATGCAACTTATTTGTAAAAGAAACTTTATTAACTGAGACAATGGGAGTAGATGAACCGGATTTCAAGAATGTGTTCGTATTTATTTGTTTATTTTTGTATTTGAGTTGTGTTCGTTTAAATTTTTAATATCGTGTTCATATTTGTTTATTTTTTAAGGTGGTCGTGTTTGGCTCATTTAGCTTTTGCAAACATGTTCGTTTAATGTTTGTCAATATGTTCGTTTAGCATTCGTGGATATATTGACGAAATTACACCATTAGTTCTTAAGCTCCTTAGGCTTCATAGTTTGAACTCTGAAATTCACAATGTGTTCAATTTAGTCCCTACCTTCACCAATATTTAAAATGTAAAAAGAAATAAAAGGAAAAGAAGAATCAGGTAAACATTATAAACGAGTTTATTCGTGTATATAAACAAACCAAACATACATTTATTTATGTTTGTTCTTTTATTAAATGAACATAAAAATTTTATTCGTACTTATGTATCTAGCTTAATAAACAAACATAAATAAATATTATACAAAAGATTCACCAATAATCCATCGAAATTCTGCATCAAACTTCCTCTTGTATCTCTGCAGTCAATCTCTAACAATTTCCTTCTTCAAACCCGCACATTTGTATATTCATGAATATTAGTTCTGTTGTGGATAAAACATGAGAAAGTGTAAAATGGTTTAATGAAATTTTAATTTTTAAGTTATCCATCTAAGTTTATTCAAACAATTAAATAAATTTTATTTATTAAAAACTATAATGCACATGGGTGGTAGATTTTAATTTTTTTTAAAAGTATCACTTTATTTAAATTTAATATATTGATATATTATATTTGTTAAAATATATCAATATAATAAAAAATATAATATATATTAAATTTAAATAAAGTGATATTTTATGTTTAAATTTTTACGTGTGCTGGGATAATATGAATTAAATAATTTTTTTCCTAAAACCACCTAATTGAACTTGAAAAGAAAACTTTAAAATTTCATATGGATTTCAAAAAATTTAATTATTTTTTATCCAAATCAATAAATTTATTTTCAAATTGTAAAAAATCCGTCTTTATTTTACTTCGTCTAATGCTTTCCTCCTAATACAACCATAGGTGTGTTGTGCATTAATCCAAATTTAAATTAAAAAAATCACATATAATGATATCATGACCATATAATCTCAATACCTTGGAGTTGACATATTGATGAGTCAAACTGAAATTGAGAGTCGATTGTTAATTTATACCTTCTTCTATTTATGGTATTAATTGAATTATATGCAAGAATTTAATATTATCATACAATCAAGATTGATAATAACAATTATTTCCCTTATCATAAAAATTCTACAATATTTGATTCGTCTGACAATTAATTCACCCTCTTAACCAAAAATAAAAATGATGCCTTTCCCCCCCCTTAATTTCCTCAATTTCTCCATTGGTTGACATCGTTAATTAAGTGGGCAATCTCGGTAATAGATGCAGAAAATGCAGGGACAAAGAGGTAACTGAGACATATCCAGTAAGTTGATTGCTCAGTCATCCTCTGTGTTAATAATAGGTTTATTCTTATTTAATTTGTTTAGTTTTCAACAGTACAAACAAAAAATTGTTTTAGTATAGAGAGAGAAGAGAGAGATTTACATATTTGATCTGTAAGTTTTGGGAAATGCAAAAACTCCATCTTTCAATGGAATTAGTTCTTAGAAAAGAACCAACTTTTGTTGGTTTCTCTTTTTAAACATTTCCTCCGGTGGCAGTTTCAACAAAAGGTAAGGTTTTTGAATGATCAAAATCTTTGTTTTCATGGACTGTTCTTCTTGCTCTTGGATCGTAATTAAATTGAATCAGAAGGTGTGGTTTTTAATATTTTTTGTTTGATTTCCCATCTCAATGCACTTTTAACACTTTTACATTAAATCTCAAATCGCTCACTGCTCCTAGATCTCTCTTCTTTCTTCTTCTATTGATTTTTAAATTTTGTGGAAACCCATGAATATGATCGAATATTGATGATCTTGGTTCATTTCAGTTTAACTACAGTACAAAAGATAATAATAAAAGAGGGGGATTCATTATCGGAGATGTCATCGTCGAGCTCTCCTTGCGCGGCATGCAAGTTTCTTCGTCGGAAATGCACTCAAGAATGCGTCTTTGCACCCTATTTTCCGCCAGACAATCCGCAGAAATTCCAGAACGTCCACAAGGTGTTCGGTGCCAGCAACGTAGCCAAGCTGTTAAACGAGCTCAACCCTTCCCAACGTGAAGACGCCGTTAACTCTTTAGCCTACGAGGCCGAGGCCCGTCTCCGAGACCCCGTCTACGGCTGCGTCGGCCTCATCTCCATCTTGCAACACAGGCTCAAACAAATGCAACACGATCTCACCAATGCCAAGAAAGAGCTCGCCACTTACATCGGTCCTCAGGCTTTGCTTCCTATTCTACAACCGCCTGTGTTTTTGCAACAACAACACGTTGGTGGCAACCCTAATTCTATGATGCAACAAAATATGACGCCGGTGATGGCTATTCCCACGGCGGCGTCGGTTTCACACGGTGGTCAGTTGGTGATAAGAGAACAACAACAGCAACAGTTATTTGAGGCTCAACAGCAATTGGCTGCAGTGGTAGCAGCAAGGGAACAAGAAGATTTGCTTAGAGGATATGAACAGCAGCAACAACATCAGGGTCAACAGCAAGAGATTGTGAGGTTTAATAGTGGATTTGAAGGTGGTGCTGGTGCAGTCACTGCCACTGGTTTTAATCAAATACCAACTGCAGCCACCATGTCACCTTCTTTGGCTTTAGGGAGCTTTGATAACCCTTATCAGATTCTGACACAACAGCTAGATCATCCCCATCATCAGTCTTCTCATGGAAGTCATCCACTTCAAGCACAGCTTTTGATTCAGACAGAACAAGGGCAACCACGACAACAAAATCAGCAACCCCAAAGATCAGAAAGTGAGGGTAGGAGTTCTGGTCCTTGTTGAATAAACAAGAAGCCTTTTCTTTTTTTCCTTTGTGGTTGCAGATTGAATGCCAGCTGCCTGCCTTCCCACTTTTTCATGACAGCAATCTTTCATTCTAGGTAAAGTGTTTTGATTTTCCCTTGTTCATTAACTCACTGTTTTATACCTGTATGAAGGGTGTTTGATTGTTCTGTCATTGTGTGCAATATGTTAGGCACTAGAACATGAGAAGTAGCAGCCTTAAAAGACTGACCTGAATATCCACATCTTATTTTCTACCTACCTAATCTATTTCCTTGATGAAAATTTCCGGGAAATGATCATTATACCAGGAAAATGAATCACCGCACTGGATTCTGTGGCAAGCATATGCATGAGACAAAAAGGGGTAACTACATTGGATTTTTGTAGGGATTTGGTGTGAGCCTAAATCCCATGATCTTGACCTCTCCTCTGAGATATTGCTTCACACCTTCCTTGAAAGATAACAGTGCCCTTCTTAGATAGTTTCCTTTCACCTACCTAACAACACACCCTAATTTTGAGTTTTCATCGATGAAATAAAAAATCAAGTAGCTTGAGATAATTTAATATCATAGAATAGTAATGTGTTTTGGAAGAAGTTCATTGACATAGTGCAAGAGATTAGAAATTCCGGTCAGCTTCTGCATGATCTTTCCTTTGTTGGATTATGGATTTGCCATTTGTCCATAAACTTTAAAAGTTTAATCTTGTTTAGGTGGACCTTGTTTTCAGTGAAAATGAGGGGAAAATGGTTGCTTTTCAGTACCGCACACCACAATAAATATAAGCATATTAATCAGTTAACCTATAGGTTCACCGACCCTAGCCTAAGTATACAAAATTATATCTTATAATCCTTTGAAAATGTTAATCAAATGGTTAAATATAAATATTTTTTAAATATCGGTCATACCATATATATTCAAATATGAGTATAAAGATTTGATTTTTCTTTCATATTGTTCTGTAGCAGGCTCTCATACAAGGAGATGCTGTGCCTGATCTAAAACCAGCCATTTGGGTGTTGCAGAACTTTTGTCGAAGCATAGAATTAAAAGGAGGCAAGGATCTGCAATGATTTGGGAGAAGTTGGGTTTATGCTTAACAATCCAATAATAAACTTGGGAAATATAATGTAATAATCATCTTTGTAGCTGTTTGCAATGGAATTTAATTATATATAAATTCAAATAGTGGACAAATCTCTCATATATTAGATTCCTTTGTTGTTTGTCTTTTTCGAAGTTACATGCAAGTAGTTTGTATTAAATATTGGCAAATTGAGTTTAAATTTTCCATCATTAAATTTAACACACGTTTTTATGCGTAGAGTATATTAAAAAAGTTTAGATGATAAACAACAATACTTTTCAGTTTCTTAGGAAGCTTCAATAATACGTGTTTAGAAAAACTATATTTTATTCATTGCTTGTACTTGGGTTTTAAATTTCTGATCAGTACAGGTTGCCATCGTTGCAAATCATAGTAAAATAAAGGTTTAAATATGTTAAAGATATTTATACTATTTTAAAATTTAGTTTTTATATTTTCTTTTTATAAAATCAAGTTCCTATACTTTTAAATTTAAAAACCTTGATCCTTCTATAATTTGATGTCTATTCAATTTTATTATAATTTCTTACTTGATAACTTAAAAAGACAAAATAACTTGTTTAGTTCTATATGTTTATAGTTTTATCAGTTTAATTCTTGAAATTTATAAATGAAGACAATTAAGTTTTTCTATTATCCAATTAATTATATTTTCATTTATTTTGAAACATTTAGGGTTAATTTGATCAAAATTGTAAATGTGGAAGATTAACAAATTATTTTACCATTTTGTATGACTACCCATGTCAACAATTAGTCCTAAAATTGAACCTAAATTGGAGTAGAGATCAAGATTTTTAAATAAAAACAATAAGAAACTTAATTTTGTAAAATTTTAAATATAAAATAAATCAATTTTATTAGTTAAGATTAGGGGATTTTTTTTTAATGAGACGCTGATATTATTCCTTGTGTATGATAATTCTTTAATGTTATCATACCTTTTCACCAAAATTTTATTAGTTAGGATCTAACATTTCCATACAAAAAAAGTAGGATTTATCAATCACGAAATGGAGTTAATTTTTTTTAACTAATTGTTGTTTTTTAAATGAGGGAATGTACTCTTTCTATTGAACCATAAATGATAACTAGTACGTAGACATGAGAGAGGTAAATTTGGTAACATATTTTAATAGTTTTAAATTATATAATATGATAAAATATTTTTTGCGCTTTTATTGGTTTGAATATATTATTATTTTTAGTTAAATAAGATATATCAGAAAAAGAATTATTTTTTTCACAATAAATATGATAGTTGAGATATATAAAATTATATTAGGTATATCGTATTGATGGACATTTATATATATATTTTAAAATTTTAGAATTTATTATATTTATTATTAATTGTACTTTTTGTTCATATTATTATTATTATTAATCTCGTATCTGATATAGTTTAAATTCAAATTTGTGTTTGATGTGAACAACGGGTTGCCTCATAGATTCCATGAAACGTTAGAATGAAAATATGAATTTCATTAATTTAAATAAATCACAAATTAATTAACAATATATGTCGATAATAATTAATAAAATAAATATGACCATTTGATACAGTATTAATAGAATAAAAAACACAAAATGTTAAATAATTAATAATTAACGTGGGCTATTATGAATTCAATTCACAATAAAATAAGAAGAAAAACCCGAAATCTCCATGAAAATGTCATGTTTTTTGGGCTATAATAAATTCAATTTTCAAACCAAAATCTTAACGTGGACCTCACCATACCTTTTGCCCAGATTCAAGTACTCCGTTGTATTATTATGGTTATACTGAAAGTGATAGCTTTGTCCTTCTCAATTTCGCTCATTCATTTGCCTTGATAACACTATTTCACCACATTTGGTAAATATGAACGGATAATTTAAAGAGAAAATAACCTCAGTGTCCGAAAATGTCTTATAATATATGATTTTAATTATTTTTTTTGATTGGCCAAAATGATCAACAAATTCGCAACGCGAACTCCAATTTTGCAACCCAGTTTCCAATTTCGCAAAGCGAATATGTAAATCGCAACACAAAAGTCAAATTCGCAACATAAAAGTTAAATTCGCAACGCGGAATTTCAAATTCGCAACTGAATTTCAAATTCGCAATTAGTTTTTTGAATTCGCAATATGTTTTAGTTTTGCAACACAAATGTTTTGGGTATATAACAACGCAACAGCAGCAACTCATAACCTAAATCCTTAATTCGTAACTCATTTCATCTCTATCTATCACTCTCTCCGGCGACATCCGTTCCTATATCCAACGACATCCTTCCCATCTCTAATTTTTTTTACATAATTTTATTTATATATAATTTTTCAATGATTTCTCTCCCAAATTATCAACTATCAACTTAATAAATGTATGTTTTTCTCTACGTTAGTGATGATATCTAGTTTATAGCTCGTTTGTTTAGTAAATTAATTTACAATTTGTAGAATAAAATCATCTAATGTTGATCATGTTTGGATAGATTTGTGTTTTGGAGGGTCATGGGAGAATATTCATGGTGTTTTACAATATGTGCCTTTACCCATGAATCTTCAACTAAAATTGTCATTAAAAAAGTTAACTTATGAAACTCTAATGTTACGTGTTGCAAAGAAATTGAATTTAGAGCCTCTAAGTGGATTTAGGCTATCTTATCAGAGAAAATGTAAAGTTTATTTGTTAACCGACAATGAAGATGTTGAACGATTCATTGTTTACATTAGTGTTTCACAAGAAGATGATGTTACAGTGTATGTTGTTGAACCTAGAAGTAGTGAAGTTGGGTCAGTAGCGGGTAGTAATCAACTAAGTTCTTCAACCCCAGTTTATGGTGCTCACAATGTACAACGTTGTTATCAACCTTAAAATTTAATGGTTCCACCACAATTTTATCACCAAGAAAATTTTGTTTCACCACATTTCTAATACCAAACACAATATCAAACACAATCTCAAAACCCACAACCTTTTCCTAATCCAAATCCCAATAAACTTTCAGCACCAAATTCCGATTTTCGTATTGACCAGTTAAACGATTATGAGTCAACAGAAAAAATTGTGAGTACTAGTCAGTATTCGAAATTTGATCTTGGTCAATACCCAGACTTTGATCTTGGTCAATACTCGGGTTTTGATGATGTGATGAAAGAAGAAACAGACCATGCATGTAATGATTTTGATATTGGTCAATACCCGAATTTTGATGATGAAACAGCCACTGTCGAGGAAGATGTTGTTGATGATAATGAGGAGGAAGTTACGACTGTGAATGAACATGTTGAGCATCTATTATATAATTCATATAACCCTGAAGAAGAAGAAGTCTCCGAAGAAAAGAAAAAGAAGAAAATGCCACGGGAGTATAAATGGAATATGCCAGAATTACTTCAGATACCGGAAGAAGAGTTGGTAAAGATAACAGTTGATTGTTACACAAAAGTTATTTGTATCAAGAAAGATGATTGTTTTGATACAAAGGAAGACTTGAAGATAGCTTTGTATACGAAATGTATGGAAGATGGCTATCAACTAAAAGTTAACAAATCAAGCAAAGATCGTTTCGAAACAAGGTGTATGATTGACAAAAACTGTATGTGGCGTATGATTGCAAAGAGGATAAAAGATTGCGAAATGTTTCAAGTTAGGAATTTTATTGATAAACATACATGTTCAAGAACCCAAGTTTTTCCTCACCATAGACAGGCAAACAAAAAGGTGTTGGGTGGTTTTCTGGCTGAGTTAATGTTTTTTAATGGAAGGGTATATCGGGGACATGAAATTATGACTGACATAAATGTTCGGTTCAAGATTAGTATCTCATATTCTCAAGCTTGGAGAGCCAAATGTTATGCATTGGAATTGTTGAGGGGGTCGCCAGAAGCATCGTTTGCCCAACTGCCGACTTATTGTCACAATTTAAAGCTGAAAAATCCTGGGTCGGTAACTCATATCAAAACAAATAGAGATGGACGCTTT